ATGTTCAGGCAAGACATGTTTCAGGATGTTTTAGTTGCAGCTTCGTTAATAACTCATCTTTTGGGGTCACTGAAGATTGGAGAAATTAATGAAGAGATGTTAAATAGAGGAATAAAGGTTTTAACATATAATCTTCTGATTTTGGTTTGAAAGTCAAAATTGTTAATGTTTTATTGGTAGCATAAACATTCTAGAATTGCAGTAACATTGTGTTGATATTTTTGAGAGTTTGTACATTATAGAGCCTCAAACAGCTGACACAGATCACACTCTGAACGAGACTGGGGCAAAAGGCCACCATCATGACTTTAGGCAGAGCTGAAATAATATGATAGCCCTCAGATGATAATCCTTAGATAGCCAATAATCCGCAGCTCACTAAAAAATGCCTCTATGCAATGTCTGTGACCCTGAAGCTGTCACAAAACCAGTGACGGCTCTTCCATGAACCCGAGGCAAACAACTATAGGAAACAATTTATTTACATGCATGTCAGCACATGTTAAAAATGTAAAGTCCTGATCTCAGTCCTATGGAGAAGTTATGGGCAGATTTGAAAAGCTGTTTGTGAGTGAGGCGGCATATAGATCTCACTCAGATGCATCAGTTCTGTCATAATGAATGGGCCAGAACTCCAGCAAACTATTGTGAGAACCTTGTCTGAGAAAAACCACGAGGTCAAATTCACTGCTACCAAACACCAAAGACATTCGGTGAAGACATTCATGAATAAAGCTCTATGTTCTTTCTCTCATTAATGTGGCATTTAGCAAAAATAAATAATTTTGGTAAGTCTGAGCTGAACGAAGACGATTTCAGTCTGATTTAACTTCAAACAGTAAGAAAAAAGGTGTGTGTCTTTCTATTTGGTGTATCTAAACATCTGGTATCAACCAGTAATAATCGAAGAATTATATCATTGTAATTTCTCTCTTAATGCTCTGGCTTCCAACCACAGTCCAAAAACGGAAATGTTGAGGCAGTGTGACTATTAATTCAATCTGGAGAGACTCAGACAGAGAAAGGTAGCGATTAAAAGGTTTATTGACATGCATGCAATAGAGTTCGTTGAGGTTCAGCTCTCCGCCGAGGACGTCGAGCTGAAATTGCGATAAGCTCGATGAACATTCCCAATGCTGATTAGGAATGTAATCCTATCGGAGGATGCCCGTACTGGTGGTGGAGGTCGGAGAAGGATGGGTGCCTAAGGAGCCAGGAGAGTGGAGGTGGAGGTGGAGATGGGGTGGAGGTGGAGGTGGGTTGATCGCAGCTGGAAAGTGGAAGACGCCATGAGCAGGAACTCAGTCGGTGATTGGCTGTGATGTGGCTTGATCAAACGTTGATCAAGGTTCGAGACGATAGGAGGGAGGCTCTGATTGGATGGTGTGGGCAGGGCGAGAGAGTCTTCCAGTTTGAATTTGTGCCTAGGCTCCATTAGGTTAAACACTGCTTTTACAGGTAAATATCTTCAATATAAGTTTTTAGTTTGCATTTTATGGCCCAATATTGTAATTCAGAGAATAAATATGGGTTTTAAAGAATGCAATTAATGCTCATTGAGAAATTACACTACAGTTTGATTATTAACAGATACAATACCAAGCATTTGTATTTATTGAGACTTTAGTCGTACCATCTGCCATATCCAATAGTCAAGAGTTTGATTTATTTTTTTATCACTTCCTTCTGTGTTTTAGTTTTTTCCAGAGTATTTGTTTTATTTAAAGCAGAGTAAGTGTTTTTTTTTTTTTTTTTTTTTTTTTTTTTTGTTCAGAGTAGACTTTTATTTTGTAATTCTAAAAACTCTCTTTTGTAACAATGGGTGTATCTGAGTGTCGTTTAGGTGAACATGGGAATGAACAGTGCTTCATAAAAAATGTTACATTGCTTTTATAGATTAAAAAAGAGGTATGAAAGCATAAAAGACAGAAAGGGAGTTATTTGAAAGCATTACCAAAAAAATTGAAAAGACCTGTTCAGATAATGTAACCCTGAGGGGGAAAAAGGATGAAAACAGATTTAAAAAAAAAAAAAACATTGCAGAATACACAAACAACTTTATAGAACATGCAACAGAAAATAACATTTCAAACCAAAACTGAAAAAAAACAACAAAAAAAAACAACAAAAAAAACCATGATATATATAAGACAGCTGTAGAATCTCAGTGTCAGTCAAAAGCTCCTTGTGGGGGGAGGGCTGCAGTGGGAGAAGAGTGGGTGTCTGCATTCAAACACTACAGGAAAATAAAGGACTAAGCTCTGGACCAGTCAACAGTCCAAGACGGGCTTACTTAAAAACATAATGCAATTATATCAAACAGACCTTTGTGTAAGAAGTTGAAATACTGCGACTAAGTGACCATGCTGTGGTTAAAATGAAAAACTGAAACAAAGAGCAATAGTTTTTACAACATGTGTATCTCTGTTTGAATTTATGGACATTTTCTGTTTTTGCTCCATCTTCATTTTGTTTTAACTTATTGTTAATTATTGTGTCTGCTGTGTGTCTTTGTGTTTCCAAAGTCCTTTATAATAAGTAATGTATACTTGTTAGGAATAATACATGTTCCAAAGTTTCTCTGTTTGGTCTTGTAGTGGTTATTTTTTGTCATTTATTAATCTGGGTATAGTTTACAAAGTTTTACAGGTATTGATTCATTATAAACATCTGACCTGCTGAAGTATTTGTGATTGTGTGTTTTGTTTTGTTTTTATACCTCTTGATTTCTTCCATGTCAACTGTTATTTTATAACATTTTTATTATGTATTTGATGCATGTTGGTCGTTGTGTATATATAAAGCTATATGTCTGTTTTTGGATTTGAAAGACAATACAATTTAACTATTTGCTATTTATCTGCAAGATGGCAAAAGGTGTTTTTCAAACAAATGTGTTTATTTCTGATTGTTTTATTTTATGAGTATGGCTGACAGCTAATGAAAACCCATAATTCAGTTTATAAAAAAAAAACTGGAACATTATTTACAAGGAATAAAAAATAGATTTATAATTAGATTTTGATCAGATATGCTATGATCTACACAGTCATAAGTTCAGACAGCTGTCCAGCAACAAAATGACATTGCTTTAAACACTGGATGTTTTAATAGTACTTCAGACAAGCATGTTAGAATGAAGTTGAGTGGAAGGAAAAAAAACTGTGATATTGCTGAGTTTAGTTGGAAACATAAAATGCTCATTGATGAAATTTCAAGAAATTCCATTTTAGGACAAAACTTCTCTTGCATTTAATATCCTGTTGCAAGTATTCGAACAGCCCCCTGTCCTCTATTCACAGACAGCTTAGTGTATATCAAGATACACTAAGCAGGAAAGGTGAATGGATGGAAAAAGTGTGGTCGACAAAAGGTGCACAAACAACAAGGATGATCACAACTTTGATCACAGCCACAGTCCGAGCTCCCATAGTCCTCACACACAACAATATAGACCTGAACTGTTGTTGTCACATTATTTATGCTGAGCAACTCCAGAACCAGAGGAAAGTTATCTTGACCTTACTTGCCTGGGCTTTTCCTTTTACAGCTGGCATGAAACAAACCAGCTGTATTTGGGGGTGCTTTGGTAATGAAGCACGACAATGATCCAAAGCCCTCCAGACAGTCCACATCTCAGTGGCTCATACAAATAAACACTGCCCCCCTCTAACCCGCCATCACTCTCAAATGGGGAAAAATGAACCTTTTGAAGAGGTCTGATGAATGACAGGACCTAAATCCTGTTAAAATGTTGTGGCATGACCTCAGCTTGCTCATGCTAATAACTAAATAAATAAATGAGAAAAAAAACAAAAAAAACAACGTGGCTTAATTAAAGCAAATCTGCAGAGAATGGTGGGCCAAAATTCCTTCACAACAATGTGAAAGACTCATTGCCAGTTATCGCAAATGTTCGATGGTTGCTTTCCCTGCCAAGGGTTGCATAACATCTTAATAGGATTATGGAGCAATTACTTTTTTATATACATTACAAAATATCTTTTGGATATCTATTTCTCCCTTAATGAATTAAATCATCGTTTTAAGAATTGCTTTTTAAGTGTGACAAAACTCTGAAGATCTGTGAGGGCGCTGAAGCTGTTTTTCCACATCAATATAATGTATGACTTATGCATTTTGATTCAGTTCATATTTCTGAAGTATTTTATGAACTCTATTTTTGACAAGTATTGCTTTGGTTTATAGTTCTGTAGGCTTCTGGGATTCTAGCCAGACACTTGTCAGAGAGACCATAAAGGTAGAATAAATTGTAAAGAATGAGCTCCCCCCCCCCCCACACACTCTTTTTTATTCCCCCCCTATCTGAAAGCTCCATTTGGATTAAGTCTGCAAGCAGATGCGCTGAAACCGAGGCCCCCCCATATGAAAAAAAAAAATCATAATCCATATGTGTTGTTTGTGATATCACGGCACAGTAAAGCTGCTTTGGTGCGCAGCCTCTTTTGCGCCGCTTGCTGCGCGGGGTTCGTGCGGCGGCAGCGGCCATCAGAATATCCAGATTATGCGTTTTACACTCTGGCTCGCGCTCTTTCTCTCTTTCGCCTGCGCTCCGCGGCAGCACAGGGGAAGGAGGGAGAGGAGGAGTAAGAGAGCCGGAGCTGCTGCCACTTGCCGCCTTTAGGTGGCGCTCAGAGCGCAGGAGACTGCGGCTTTCCTCGCTCTCCGCAGCCGGACAGAGATGCAGGCAGAGCGGCTGCAGGACAGGTGATAGTCCGGAACGCTCTGCTCGTAAGCACGTGTGTTCGGCATCAAAGCTTCGATTCCTCAAAGTTTATTATAATAAAGCTCGTAATAAAAGTGTGTAAAAAAGTGAGGAGAAAAAAAAAAAAAAAGCAGGGGAAATGTTGGGAAATCCATGAAGTTGAGGGAGAGGATGCTCGCTCCGCCTCCTCCTCCTCCCTGATGGGGGAGTGTATAATGAGTGTAAGGGTGAGGGAGGGGGAGAGAGAGAAGGAGAGGGAGTGAAGCGCGAGCGCACTGGTTTGGATTCACTCCACTTTCTCATCACTCACGGTGCAGCCGCGCGACCTGCTCCGTGCCGGACCGCGCGAGGACCGAAACTGGACCAAAGGGGACCGGACCAATCCTGCGTTACTAGCAGCTTCAACTCTTTTACCACTTTTTTTTTTTTTTAGAAAGTGTGTGGGGAGAGACACGGGTAAGATTTTTTTTTCTTTTTCTTTCGTCCCGGTGCTCCGTCCACATCCAGCACCTCCACCCTAACTCCCTCTTCATCCCGCAGACAGCGTGCCACCAGCGGAGGATGCAGCCGCTTCCCTCCGGCCGCCGGTGACGCTTTCAGGGGTCCGTCAGTGAGTCCGGCCAAGCCTCCGGAGAGCGCTGGTCACGACTGACAGAAACTGAGAGAAACTGGAGGAATAACTACAGCCGTGACTGGATTGTTTGATTCGTCTCTGAATCTTTTTTTTTTTTTTTTTTTTTTTTTTTTTTTTTTTTTTTTTTTTTTTTTTTTTTTTGCTAAAACCTTTGGGATTTTTTTTAATAAAACAATTTTTTGTCCTGGAGCGTCTGCGTCTGGATACCGCGGAGGAGCGAGAGCCTGTAGCCGGCGTTGGAGCGCCCAGACCTGGGTCTTTAACTCGATCCAGGTAGGAACTTCTCCGCACAGTCTCATTATTTCACCTGTACGTAGGTAAAAACCTCTTTAAATCAAACTAGTGCGTCGGGGACGCGATACGCACCATCATTTCCCCGGGCGGACTCACTTTATATTCCATTTCGCATGAATGCACACTTGTGCCTTAATTAAAGAACACACTCTGCAGGGTACGGATTTGTTTAAAAAAAAAAAACCCAAAAAAACAAACACTTGTTGATAAAAAAAAGAGAGAGAGAGAAAAGCCATCCCACCTTCTATGTTCTTCGTGTAATCTCCTTTGATGGGTTTTTTACGTGTGTTACACTACAGAGCTTATTGATCTGTATCGATCCCCTCCGTCCTCAGCATTACCTCCCCGTCTGTCAGTAATAAAGCACAGCTTCCTCAAGCTTTAACATTTCTCAAACTGGGGGAAACTGTATCAGTGCTCCCAAAGGGAAGAGCAGCGGAGTATTTTTCTTTTTTCTCCAAATGCGGGAGATATAGTTATAATCATACGTTTGGATCTATGTAGCTTTATGGGGGGAGGTAGGGGAGCTTTTTAATGCCACTAACAAATCCATTCAGCCAGAGGTGCTCATAAACTCCCAACAAAAGCGCATATCTCTGTGCAGATGAGCCCCCCTCTCCCCCCCCCACCAAGAGCACCTGTGGCATCAAATTTGCCACCCTGTGCTGTTGCTCTGCACAGAGAGGCAGAGAGTTTCACTCGAAAGGTGGAGTAGAAGGAATGAAGCATCCGCTATGTGTCATCTGCAGGGAATCTGGTCCATCCGGTGCCTCCGGTTTCCAGCCTCCTCCGCCTTTTCCCTCTGCTGTGGCAGAGGGAGAGAAAGAAAGAGGGTGGGCGTATGTCCTGCTGATAGAGAGAGAAAGAGAGAAGGGGATGAGGGAGGGGGAGTCGGGTATTTACATGCAAACTGCATCTGCTTGGCACACACAGAGCAGGAGCAGCGAGCTCTGCGGTCAGCTGTGGCTTCTTTGAATTTTTACAGGTGGCCAACCCTTCACAGGGATGTTTTGCCTTCCTATGCATGGCCTTTGACCCCGTTTCCTCCTTCATCTCTTCCTTTTCATGTGAACCTCCCGCCCCCCCACACAGGCTTTCAACGCTTCTCTTGAAACCCTAAAACATCCACGCATTCAGCTCCAAGCCCAGGGGCAGAGTTGGTCCGGCAGGGATATGTGCAGCAAGTGCTGATTTTCAAAATCTGAGCAGCGTGAATCCAGCATGAAGCGGTTGAAGGGGTGAGGATCTTGTTTGGGATTCGGTAGGATGGTCTCTATGGCGCCTCCCGGAAGACATTAAAGAAGAAAACTATTAGGAAAACATTTCATTATGATATTGTTCTGACACCGGCTGAGATGAATCCACATTTTCATACCTTATCGTCTTTTCTTTCACCGTAAACGTCAGCGTCTCGGCCACTAGAGTCTCTGTCAGGTGTGGGCATTAAGTCATGCAGTGAGTGAATGCGACGCATTTTAAATGTAACAGTGTGCCAGAAGTTGCATCAAAACAGGATTTTGCAATTGTGATCTTACACAGACTGACATTGTGATTTCACATAATTTTCAGCTCTTACTAAAGAAACAAACAACAAAAAAAGCATTTTACACTTTTCTGTTTGAACACACGGCACTAAGTGTCTTGGTGGAACTTCTTTAGTGTTTTTTTTTTTTTTTTTTTGTGAAAATGCTCTTCTGAAGCAGGTTCCAGCAAACTGTGGAAACAGAAGCTCCACAGCAACCTCCGAGGTTCAGACAAACCACAATCTTTGTGTTATATTTCCCATGTCTGCCGCTTCAAACTGATATTTAATCTTTGGGATCCGTAGTGGATGTGAAGATACTCTCGGTGAGGTTTGCGGCTGGTTTGGATGGCGACCCTGCCATCACCCGAGCTCCTCCCGTTGCCGCCGTCGCCGCTGTGTCGTGGGGCTGGGTTTGAGGTTGGGATCCCAAGCTCTGGGATTCCTGGCTGCCTCCTCTAATTTAGAGGCGCGTCTGTCCCGCTCCGACCACTTAAACAGCTACGTGCTGATTCCCGGGGCCCTGCAAGCGGGGGTCGAGGCGAAAGGGGATTAGTCTGAATGGAGGAGGAAGAGATGGGAGGTCGAGCGGAGTCCGTTCTGTACATTTCTCCGTAAAAATTGGAGATCTGAGGGAGCCTTGTCGTTAATGGGCGTCATTAAACTGGGAGCTGGCAGAGTGGAAATGGGTTTAGTCTGTCAGATGAAAGCACACACACGCACACACACCCCTTTTCTTTTCCCGCTCAGGACCAAAAAGAAGCTGTCCATGCTTCAGACTTCAGAGATGTCATGGCACGTTTGCCTTCTTTTACGGTTCAGGTAGAGAGAACAAGAAAACCCAAACTAAGAACAATCTCACACTTGTTTGCTCTCTCTGTCCAGGTAGCAACCGGTCGGTAGACTGATGTAGGCGTCAGGTGTCGATGTGTAATCCATGAGTCACATTTATGGCATCTCAAAATCCGGTCAGAGGAGCTATACAAGGAAATAAGCCTCAACAATGAGAGAATTTAATTTGAAATTATGTAATACAACCGGTTCTTTTTTTTGATTGAGATCATATTCTAAGATAAAAGATAATTCAAGGCCTTTTGTTTCTGCTACTGTTGTCCTGTTTTTAGACGTTAGAAATACATGCATCAAAGGTAAGGTTAGACGAAACACATGTCTTTGGTTCAAAATACAATGGAAAAATGTAAAACCTGAACATTTCGGAGGGATTTATTAAACATGACCTACGAATCTAGAAATATAGATTTTTTTTTTTTTTTTTTTGACAAAAGCACTTCCTGACCCAGCGAATAATGCACTCATTTTCATGCTTTTATTTCTTGCCAGACCTGAATATTGCAGTTTTTTTTTTTTTTTTTTTTTTTTTTTTTTTTT